CGTGGAGAGTGTGGGAGCCCACAGTTCGGGACGCCAGCGGCAGACTCAACACACCAGCGCTGAAACACGAGGTGAGCCGAACCTCAATAGCCCGAGACAATGGCAGGCAAGCAGAAAGAGGAGACTAGAGGGAAAAACCCCGTGGGTAAAAGTTCACCAGGCTAACTAGAAGAGAGAGAGAGAGAGAGAGAGAGAGAGAGAGAGAGAGAGAAAGAAAAGTGACCAATAGGCAATGAGTTTCTCTCTCTCTGCTCACCTCTCATAGGTGAGCAAGACAAAGAGCAGGTGCCATCTTGGAAATACATCATAAGCAGGGAAACCTCAGGTGTGCACCAGCCCTGAGCCTAGCAGAAAAACCTAACTTGGGGTGTGTGTGTGTGTGTGTGAATTAACAGGAGATTAGGACCTAGTGAATGTGTGGTGCTACTGAACTGAGACTGTGAAAAAAGAGACGGTGGGGGAGAGAACTCACAGAATTCACATGAGTACTCTCCAGAGATGCTACAATTTGGTAACCTTGGCAACCCAGTGGGAGACTGCAGGAGAATTTGAGCCCACACTGAGGGAAGGACAGATTCACTGTGTGGTCCTTGGGAAAGAGCTTCCAATCTCTGGCTCCTGTGGGTATATCATTTGCCTGCTAACTATCTCCAATTCTTTTCAGCTGTGCAGAATTACTTCCCTTTTGAATCAAAAGAAAGAAAGAAAGAAAAGAAAGAAAGAAAGAAAGAAAGAAAGAGAGAGAGAGAGAGATTTACCATGCCTAAACTGGGAGTGTCACCTTTAGCACACCCTTAACCCTGAGGAACCAAACAGAGCTCTCAGGCCACACCCATCTCATGCCTCTAAGGCTCCATCAAAAACAGACAGTCCACTTAATCTAGAGTCATAGTATAACAAGAAAAAACACCACAGTGAATAAACCAAGTATCTACAATATGCCAAACAACAAACGCAAAAACCGAGGTAATAAGAACAAGGAAGACAATATGATGCCCCCAAATGAAAAAGACACCCCAATTCAAGATTATGAAGATGATGAGATAGAAGAAATGCAAGAAGTAGATCTCAAAAAATTGATAAGAACATTAAGAAGTTCTCAAAAACAAATTCTTGAACTACAGAAATCCTTAATGGACAAGATAGAAAATCTCTCTCATGAAAATAAAATATTAAGGAGGAATCAAAATGAAATGAAACAACTACGAGAACATGAAACTGTGATAGTGACAAGAAATCATAATGAAATGAAGAATTCAATTGATCAAATGACAAATACGTTAGAGAGCCTTAAAAACAGAATGGGTGAAGCAAAGAGAGAATATCAGACTTAGAAGATAGAGAACAGGAAAGGATACAGTCAGACCAAAGAAAAGAAGAGGAAATTAGAAATCTAAAAAAATATTGTGGGGAAACTGCAGGATACTATTAAAAAACCCAACATTCAGGTTCTAGGAGTTCCTGAAGGCATGGAGAGGGAGAAAGGATTAGAAGGCCTTTTTAGTGAGATAATAGCAGAAAATTTCGCAGGTTTGGAGAAGGACAGAGACATCCTAGTACAGGAAGCTCACAGAACCCCTAATAAACATGACCAAAAGAGATCCTCATCATGACACATTGTAATTAAACTCATCACAGTGAAACATAAAGAAAAGATCCTAAAATGTGCAAGAGAAAAAATGTAAGATTACTTTCAGAGGATCTCCAATCAGACTCATAGCAGACTTCTCATCAGAAACCCTACAAGCTAGAAGGGAACAGCGAGATATAGCCCAGGTACTCAGAGAGAAAAACTGCCAGCCCAGAATATTATATCCTGCAAAGCTCACATTTGTGAATGAAGGTGAAATAAAGACCTTTCATAGCAAACAGAAATTGAAAGAATTTGTCGCCACTCGTCCAGCCCTGCAAAAGATGCTTAAAGATGTGTTACACACAGAAACACAGAAACACGGTCATCAGTATGAAAGAAGGTAAATGAAGAAAACCTCACAGCAAAAGATCACAGGAAGTTCAAAACATATATTAGAAAATATCTTTGGCAAATGGCAGGGCAAAGCTACTACTTATCAATAGTGACATTGAATGTTAATGGCTTGAACTGTCCAGTTAAAAGACACCGATTGGCTGATTGGCTTAAGGAACAAAACCCATCTATTTGCTGCTTACAAGAAACACATCTTTCCAACAAAGATCCATATAGACTGAAAGTGAAAGGCTGGAAAAAGATATACCATGCCAACAGAAATGAAAAAAGAGCGGGCGTAGCCATCTTAATTTCAGACAACATAAACTTTACCACAAAACTGTAACAGAGACAAGAGGGGCACTATAAAATGATTAAGGGATCAATTCAACAGGAAGATATAACAATTATCAATGTATATGCACCTAATTACAGGGCACCGGTTTATTTAAAAGATTTGTTAAGGGACTTAAAGGGAGACTTATACCCCAATACAGTAGTACTGGGGGACTTCAATACCCCACTCTCAGAAATAGACAGATCAACAGGACAGAAGATCAACAAGGAGACAGCAGATTTAAATGACACTATAGCCCACATGGATCTAACAGATATCTACAGAACTTTTCATCCTACATATAAAGCATTTACATTCTTCTTAGCAGTACATGGAACCTCCTCTAGGATTGACCACATACTAGGCCATAAAGCAAGTCTCAGCAAATTCAAAAGAATTAGAATCATACCATGCAGCTTCTCAGACCATAAAGGAATGAAGTTGGAAATTAGCAACTCAGGAATCCCTAGAGCATATGCAAACGCATGGAGATTGAACAACATGCTCCTGAATGAACAATGGGTCATAGAAGAAATTAAAAGAGAAATCAAAAATTTTCTGGAAGTAAATGAGGATAACAGCACAACATACCAAAACTTATGGGATGCAGCAAAAGCAGTGTTAAGAGGAAAGTTTATATCAATAGGTGCCTACATCAAGAAATTGGAAAGGCACCAAATAGATGAGTTTTCAATTCACCTCAAGGATCTAGAAAACCTACAGCAAACCAGACCCAAATCTACTAGGAGAAGAGAAATAATTAAAATCAGAGAAGAAATCAACAGGATTGAATCAAGAAAAACATTACAAAAAATCAGCCAAATGAGGAGCTGGTTTTTTGAAAAAATAAACAAAATTGACACCCCATTGGCCCAACTAACTAAAAAAAGAAGAGAGAAGACCCAAATCAATAAAATTAGAGATGAAAAAGGAAACGTAACAGACACCACAGAAATCAAAAGAATCATCAGAAATTACTACAAGGACTTGTATGCCAGAAAACAGGGAAACCTATCAGAAATGGATAGATTCCTGGACACATGCAACCTACCTAAATTGAACCAGAAAGACATCGAAAACCTAAACAGACCCATAACTGAGACAGAAATTGAAACAGTAATAAAGGCCCTCCCAACAAAGAAAAGCCCAGGACCAGATGGATTCCCTGCTGAATTCTACCAGACATTTAAAGAAGAACTAACTCCAATTCTTCTCAAACTATTCAGAACAATCGAAAAAGAGGGAATCCTCCCAAATTCTATGTTTGTTTATTTTTTACTTATTTATTTATTTTTTGTAACTTGAGTGAGCTGGTGTCAGTGTTTGAGGTGCCAATCTCCGCCCCTTGGGGGCTGGTTTCCTTGTTCCTATGTTCGCCCTTACATGTCTGTGCCTGGGGTTCATTGGACAGCCACTCTTTTTCACTGCACCTCCTGCTTGAGGAGTGTCAAGTAGCTCCAGACCACCTTTGGACTCTGCCCCTGCTGCTTCCTCCTTTGGAGCAGAGGCCAGCCTCCTTTAAGCCTGGATGTAAACAAACAAGATGGCTGCACTCTGCCCGCTGCAGCTCTGATTGTGGGTTGGGCAGCTCCTAAGGATCCTGGTGTTTTTGATTCCTCACTTCTTCCCCTGGATCCTGCCCTCTTTCTGTGGGCGCTATTCATTTTTTTTTCTGGTAACTTGAGTAGACTGGTGTCAGGGCTTTGAGCTGCCCTCCCTCACTGCCTGCCCCTGCGCAAGGAGTGTCATGTCGCTCCACTGCACCTTTGAGCTCCGCCTCCGAAGGTTAGTGCAGAGGCAGAGGCAGTTCTCCTTTAAGCCCGAATGTAAACAAACAAGATGGATTCTTCCCGCCCACTCCAGCTCCAATTTGGGGGAGTGTTCCTGGATTGTTTAGTCCCTCAATTAGACCCCCTGAATCATGCACTCTTTCCACAGGCGCTACTCACTCTGTTCCATTTTCTATTTCCTCCCCCACTCAGTCGTGTGTGTCTCAGTGTCCGTCCCAGGGTGGGTTGGGGGAGGGGCGGTGGCGGCTGTTACAGCAGTGCTGGGCGAGCACCCTGTCTCACCTCTGCTTCCAGCGCTGGTGCGTACACACTCCTGCTGGTGTCCAGCTCTTCAGGCGTCCGCGTCCTCCTCGAAGGTCCACCCTGTCTCCCCCATTTCGAAGAGCTTCCCTTTCCCTGAAACTACAAATTCTCACCCCTCTTTGAACCTTACCTTCCTGGACCATCGGTGTGCTCCCTCCCCATTCCGCCATTTTGGAACGGGTTCCTTGTAATGGTGAACTTTTAACATTGTAACTATGTTTAATAAGACTTGAAAAGAATGATCATAACTATTGATGATCTAAGGATTTTTTAAAGCATGGGAGAATATTCCACAATATTTTCAGTGATAAAATCTCACCATGTGTTGATTCTGATGAAAACACATATATGATGTAAAATAGAGTGTTTATTATTTTTCTCTTGCTGATTGAAAGCAGTATTTTGCAGTACCCTACTGAATTGGAAAGTTCATATACGGAATTTCTGGTATAGAAACTGAAAATAACGGAGATCTGGGACCATTCTGAAGATGGGAAGCTAACACACAAATTTCTGGTATGCAGAATAATACTTTCTGAAGATGTGAGACTTACTGTATTTGATTGCTTTTCAGGCATGCATGTGTTTCCTCTCCACTATTAAGATGAACACACTTTCTGCTTATGTAGCTATTAATAACTGTATTCTCTGCCAAGCTGGCATTGGAATCTTATCCAACAACTTCCTCTTCTTCCACATCTTCACACGCCCACAGTATCACAAGCCAAAGCTCACTGACCTGATCTGCTGTCACCTGGCCCTTGTCCACATAATGATGCTTCTCACTGTGCTGTTTTGGAGGTCTCCAGATCTGTTTGAGTCCCTGAATTTTTTCAATGACTTCAAGTGTAAGGCTTTGTTCTACCTAATCAGGGTGATGAGGAGCCTCTCCATCTGCACCACCTGCCTCCTGAGTATCATCCAGGCCATCACCATCAGCTCCAGCACCTCCTGGTTGGCACAGTTGAAACATAAATCCACACATTTCATCTTCTTTTTATCATTACTATGGTTTCTCTGTTTGTGTTTCAGTACTAGCACGATCTTCTACACTGTGGCAAATTCCAATGTGACTCAGACCAATGTAATGGTCATCACTAAATACTGTTCATTTTTCCCCATAAGTCATAGCATCAGAGGTTTGGTGTTCACACTAATAACATCCAGAGACATCTTCCTTATAGGAGTCATGCTGCTCTCAAGTGTGTACATGGTGATCCTCCTACTCAGGCATCAGAGGAGGTCCCAGTACCTTCACAGCACCAGCCTCTCCCCAAGATCTTCCCCAGAGAAGAGGGCCACCCAGACCATCCTGCTGCTGGTGAGTTTCTTTGTGGTCATGCACTGTGTGGACTTCATCTTCTCATCCTCTTCAATTATACTGTGGTCATATGACTCAGTTATCTTGGGTATACATGATGTTGTGGTCAGTGCCTATGCCACTGTCAGTCCACTGGTGCTTATCAGTTCTAATAAAAGGATAATTATTTTTTTCAAAATATACCATAGAAAAGCTTTGAATTTTAACAAATTGAGTATAAACTTGGTGGTCTTTGTGTGAGCATGTGACATAGAAAATGCTTCTTCAGTTCCCATATCATAGTTCTGGATTTGAATAACACCTGTACTTCTGGCTGGATTTGAATACCACCTGTGCTTCTGGTTCTGATTTGTGTAAATGCGTACCCTGAATGCAGCAGGTGCTGGCTTAAGTACATAGGTTGCTGCCACTCACATAGGAGAAACATATGAAGATCTAGAATCCTGGATTTAGCCTTTTCTACCCTGCTGTTGCCAGCCTTTGGAGAGAAAACCAGATAAGTGATCTCTCTCTCTCTCTCTCTCTCTCTCTCTCTCCTCTTTCTCTCACCTTACGTCTTTCAAATACAGGAAAAATTAATATATGAAATATAATTTTACAATGATTGTCTTATAATAGTTGTTTCACACATGATGAAAATTATTCTAATGGGATAAGTTCCTGTGGGATTAAATTAATCTCTATGGAATTATACTTTTATATCTAAATACTTTGAAATCTATATTGCTGAGTAGTTCATTTTCTTTCATTTAACAAGCAACATGATTTAGTATCCCCATATGTTTACCCATTACTTGTCCTTTCATTTTGATTTCAGACTTTCACCCAGGAAATCTTTTATTTCTTCTTAAAGTAATTACTGTAGAAGTACTCACTGAAAATCAAATATTTCATGATTCTTATGTTGAAAACAATCACTGTTATAAAAAAAAAAAAAGGAAGGCCGGTGCTGTGGCTCAATAGGCTAATCCTCTGCCTTGCAGTGCCAGCACACCAGGTTCTAGTCCCGGTCGGGGCTCCGGATTCTGTCCCGGTTGTCCCTCTTCCAGACCAGCTCTCTGCTGTGGCCCGGGAGTGCAGTGGAGGATGGCCCAAGTGCTCGGGCCCTGCACCCGCATGGGAGACCAGGTGAAGCACCTGGCTCCTGCCTTCGGATCAGCACGGTGCGTTGGCCGCAGCGTGCCAGCCGCGGCGGCCACTGGAGGGTGGACCAACAGCAAAAGAAGACCTTTCTGTCTCTCTCTCTCACTGTCTACTCTGCCTGTCAAAAAAATAAAAGGAGATAAGCATTCAATCATAGCTTGGACATCAATTTTGCCAGCAATGGTATTTTGTATTTCTCTCTTTTTTTATTTTTTAATAAAGAATGTGGAGATTTTGCCATCATCATTTTGAAATTGCAAGTCTTTCCATTCATGCATTCTTAAATTTTACTTCTCCTCACTTTTACTAGGTCTGATTCTGATCTCTGTTTGAATTTTGTTTCCCTTTTAAACTTCTTACTATAATGAAATGATTCATGCAGTGTCTTACACCTGACATACTGTTAGATATTTATAAATTTTTTGTTGAATTACTATCTTTCATAATTTTATAAATTCTTTAAATCTAATGATCCAAATAAATGTATCTTATTCCTTATCATTCTAGTTGTCATTTGATTACATTTGGATTTTCTATTGCATGGCCATACTATAAGACAACTTGGAAGCTCAGTCATTCAGTTCATTACCAACTGAGTTTAATTTAATGTTTAAACTGAGCATTGCATTTTGCTTGTTACATTTTTCTAATATTTATGTTTTATTTGGTTGTTTTCACAATATGGCTGAACAAATTCATTGTTGTTTGCTTTTATTATTTTTCATTCTCATTATTAATTATTTCATTTTCCACTTTAAATATCTGAAACACGATTTCTATATCAAATTTATGTGAACCTTCATTCTGGTGGCTTCTGTGTATGCTTCATTATTTTCAGTTGGATTATCTCATTTGGTGTCCCTCACTCCTTGGAAAGTCCCTAGTTGCTATATTTCCTGGTTTCTTCCAGTTGGTCAGAGGGAAGGTTGTAAAACTCACACAGCTTTGAGGCTCAAGTGGTCAGCTAGTGTCCTAGAAGCAGCACTTGTCTCTCAATTAACTTTTTCTTTCTTTCTCTCTGTTGGTTTATATTTATATTATATTCCAATTTTTCTCTTCATTCTGACGAGCATTTAAGGACTTTTTTATTTTTTTATTTATTTTTTTATCTTTTATTTAATGAATATAAATTTCCAAAGTACGTCTCATGGGTTACAATGGCTTTCCCCCCCATACCGTCCCTCCCACCCACCACCCTCCCCTTTCCCACTCCCTCTCCCCTTCCATTCACATCAAGATTCATTTTCGATTATCTTAGTATACAGAAGATCAGCTTAGTATACCTTAAGTAAGGATTTCAACAGTTTGTTCCCACACAGAAACATAAAGTGAAAAATAATAGATGATTTTTTTTTAAATGATGATGAAATCAGATCAGACCTATTGTCATGTTTAATCCCAGTGAGAGTCAAGTTGGGAATTGATAGTTTCTTTTCTTTTTTTTTTTTTTAACAGAAGATCAGTTTAGTGTACATTAAGTAAAGATTTCAACAGTTTGCACCCCCATAGAAACACAAAGTGAAATATACTGTTTGAGTACTCGTTATAGCATTAAGCCTCAGTGTACAGCACATTAAGGACAGAGATCCTACATGAGGAGTAAGTGCACAGTGACTCCTGTTGTTGACTTTACAAATTGACACTCCTGTTTATGGTATCAGTAATCTCCCTATGCACCAGTCATGAGTTTCCAAGGCTATGGAAGCCCCTTGAGTTCTCCGACTCTTATCTTGTTTAGACAAGGTCATAGTCAAAGTGGAGGTTCTCTCCTCCCTTCAGAGAAAGGCACCTCCCTCTTTGAAGACCTGTTCTTTCCACTGGGATCTCACTCACAGAGATCTTTTTGCCAGAGTGTCTTGGCTTTCCATGCCTGAAATACTCTCATGGGCTTTTCAGCCAGATCCGAGTGCCTTTAGGGCTGATTCTGAGGCCAGAGTGCTATTTAGGACATCCGCCATTCTATGAGTCTGCTGAGTATCTCACTTCCCATGTTGGATCACTCTCCCCTTTATTTATTCTATCGGTTGGTGTTAGCAGATACTAGACTTGTTTATGTGCTCCCTTTGACTCTTAGTCCTTTCATTATGATCAATTGTGAACTGAAATTGATCACTTGGAGTAGTGAGATGGCATTGGCACATGCCACCTTGATGGGATTGAATTGGAATCCCCTAGTATGTTTCCAACTCTACCAATTGGGGCAAGTCAGCCCGAGCATGCCCCAAATTATACATCTCTTCCCTCTCTTATTCCCACTTTTATGTTTAACAGGGATCACATTTCAGTTAATTTTCAACACTTAAGAATAACTGTGTGATAATTACAGAATTAAACCAGTCATATTAAGTAGAACAGACAAAAAAAAATACTATGAGGGATAATGTATTAAGTTGTCCATTAGCAGTCAGGGCTATGCTGATCAAGTCACCATTTCTCATAGTGTCCATTTCACTTCATGATAAGGACTTTTTTAACTTCCTTAGTTTATTTAATTGTGTTGTAAAAATTTGGATCATTGGATTTAAAGAATTTATAAAATTATGAAAGATAGTAATTCAATAAAAATTTATAAATATCTAACAGTATGTCAGGTGTAAGACACTGCATGAATCATTTCATTATAGTAAGAAGTATAAAATGGAAACAAAATTCAAACAGAAATCAGAATCAGACCTAGTAAAAGTGAGGAGAAGTAAAATTTAAGAATGCATCAATGAAAAGACTGCAATTTCAAAATGATGATGGCAAAAAGCAGTACCTGGTTTTTCATAGGTATATGTACACTAAATGCACACATATAGTGTTTCACATAGTTTATGGCAGACAGTAGACTCTCATGAGAAATAACAAGTTTCTTTTCTCAGAATATTTCTTGCCCAATTTATTACATATTTATAATGGTTTATAGATTGATATTTGTCTTTAATTTTGATAATCATATTATATACCATTTTAAGAAATTAGTTTTTAAGATTCAAAAGTCAGAACCAGAGAGAGGCAGAAGCAGAGAGAGAGAGAGGTCTTTTATCCACTGGTTCACTCCCTAAAGGACCGCAATGGCCAGAGCTGAGCAGATCCAAAGCCAGGAGCCAGGAGCTTCTTCCAAATCTTGCACATAGTTCAGGGGTGCAAGCATCCTAATCCATTTTTTACTCCTTTCCCAGGTCTTAGTAGAGAGCTGGATCAGAAGCAGAGCAGCCAGGTCTCAAACTGGGGCCCTCATGTGATGCTGACACTACAGGCAGTGCCTAACCTTTTATGTCACAGTGCTGGTTCCAATTATATGAAATTCTAATCCATTACAGTATTGATGAGCACTGGAATATGGTGATAACTAATATTTTTCCATTTTATAAAGATTGTTTTAAAAAAATTGCTGAGTTACTTGCCTAGATTCAAGTCTGGACTCCAGTCATTACAATTTCTACTTTACACTTTTCTTACTTCTCAAAAATAATTTGGACTTTAGATACAAACATTATAGAAGATAATCAAATATAATTTACTATGAGTCTAAATAGTTTCTCAGTTGGACATTTCACTGTCATTTTGTAGTTTGTAGAAAATGATCCTTGTAGATTTATGCTTTAATGATATTATTAGAGTCTAAACTGTGAGATATTCAAAATTTCATTCTAGTATTTGCAAATAGTGATCACGTTTTGTTTGCTGGTCAAAATATTTACAATCCAACTTGGGAAGTGAGATACAGAGCAGACTCATGGAATGGCAGATATCCTAAACAGCACTCTGGCCTCAGAATCAGCCCTTAAGGCATTCAGATCTGGCTGAAGAGCCCATGAGAGTATTTTAGGCATGAAAAGCCAAGACACTCTGGGGAAAAAAACCCTAAATGAAAGATCTCTGCGAGTGAGATCCCAGTGAAAAGAATGGGGCCATCAAAGAAGGAGGTAGCTTTCTCTGAAGGGAGGAGAGAACTTCCACTTTGGCTATGACCCTGTCGGAATAAGATCAAAGTCAGTGAACTCAAAAGGCTTCCATAGCCTTGGCAACTCATGACTAGAGCCTAGGGAGATTACTGACGCCATAAACAAGAGTGTCAAATTGTTAAGTCAACAACAGGAGCCACTGTGTAT